TAGAAAAACTTGTTTGGCATGTCCCAGGATCAACTCCTAACTTGCAAGTGCGATCCGTAAAGGCAAAGACAACTATCACTGCAGGACAGACTATCATCCTGGACTACTTGTAAGCATGATAACTTAGCGTCTAGTAAAGCGCAAAGCAAGATCAGTGCAAATTTGCTGGAGCAGAAACCGGCCTGTTGTTGCTACTCACACCCCCACATTAATTCCATTTCTTGATACTCTGGCCGTCGCAGAGAATAGTCAACAATGCCCTATTTGCCACATCGGACGTGTGGATAAGGATGAGGATGTTACTGCTCAAACCTTCCCATCTCCATGTTGCCTATTCTACGCTTCTTCGTCTTATCGTCTCGTCTCAAGTCCACTTTTGCCTCCCTCTTTTTAGCCCCGCTATCTTCACTTTCTTCCGTCTTGTTTTTCCAGGCTTATAATGTTGACTCGCACGCAATCTCGGAATGTTCCTCTACCTCGTCGACAAGTCTATGTATAAGGAAGCTGACAAACTCGGTTTCTATTTGAATCGCCTGGTCCTCGCTAGGAATGGCATACCTCAGCGTGTGTACTTTATTTAGATCGATCAACAGATAGTATTTGTCAAAGCCTCGGCTGCTCCGTTGATCAATATCTACCGCTTATCGGAAACCAATTTGCAAGATTCGAACTCTGATTACTTTACCACCCCTTTCACACCGTACTAGTGGCTCTTTCTCACGATTCCTATCCGGAAGTAATGCAGCTTCAAATACTGGTCAAGCTGGTGTTCGTATTACTCTAATTCTTTGGTTGCAGATGCTCCAGCGGACTGGATCTCAATCAGTACCCTGTTGTGTACCGTCAGGCTGGTTGACTCTCAAGGCTCCGAATTCGCGCGGAGACAACGACTCCTCTTTGTCATTGTTATCCATTGTCCCTACAAACTGCATGGCTAATTCAATGAAAGAGGACTTTTGTCATCAACTGAATCGAGCTTCACTTATCTTAACAGTGAAAACGTTACTACCTCTGTGGCAAAATGGTCTTCTGTTTCTCTCTAGCACTTGCCTCCTACTCGGCACCCATCACCCACCAGCCTTGATTCAATCATGGATTCAACTTGATCACATCGCTATCAGTTATCGTTGGAGATGCGCTCAAACCAGCCACTCCTTTAGAACGCGACGTGGATTCCGACCGTGCATCTTTGTTACAATCTCCGGGTTCGTTTTGGAGAACGCCGACGAAGACGATGGGAGCGCCTGGACAACCGCCTACTGTCGAAACGTCTGTCGGTGGCCGAAGTGATGAGACATCTGTATTTTACTCCGTATGCCCGATCACTCCTTACCCAGGGGGGGGCCTTGTTTTGCCTACCAAATGTAGGTAGGCGCAAGCCACGAGGTGGACAAAGTTGACTTGCCCGCGGGAAATGCAGTCACTGATGACCAAACTCGGTGCCGTCAGTCCGTTTCGCTTTCCGGCTGGAGTCCACATGACTCGCCTTGTGCTTGGCTTGAGACGTTACAGTACATGGCTGGTAGTCGACACAGGTGGCGTGTCTGCTATCATTTCCTAGTCGGACTGCTTGTTTGAAGTGTGTATGGTGCTAAATTATCAGCATTGGAATGTCTGAGTATGATGCGGGCAGTGAAAATCGCAAAGAAGCTGTCTCGCCGAAAGCGCTTTATCTTCACACAATAACCAGCTGTCTGTGATGGCATGTTGTTGACATTGTGTAGGCGCCTTGACCCTGAGTGTTTGGTTAGGGCCTTAGTATCCTTCGTCCTGTAGGTTTTTGTTGTTGTACGGCAGCGAAGTATCAATTCAAATGCCTGATGTGCTGCTACTGCTGCTGATGATAATGTATTTGTATTCGCGTGTTCGGCTGGTAGTAGTTGCGTGGCAGCAAAACGTTGGTGCGCCACTCCGGCGTACTTTTGAAAGTTTTTTTCTTATTACTGGCGAAATGATATATTCTAAATACATATGGAAGTACGTTGGCATGTTGTTTGAGTAACCCCTCACCGTGCGCAACTGAAACTTAATAGTCACTGGTTCACAGAGCGTTACTATCAGTAGTTGTGTCGTCGTATGGAATATCAAATTACCATCCTGGGTACTAGGTTTATACACAATCTCTGGAGCTCGGTTTTCACCGATACATTCTGTCTGAAAGCGAATGTAGTAAAACTACCCAAGGTCTCGAGGCAGAACTACATGCTTGCTTGAAAAGAGACAGCGAAGTCGTGTTTCTCCACTGTGTGTCCCTCTTTACAATCATTAGAAGTCACTTCTTGTGTTACGGTTAACGGACATCAGGAGATCTGGTTTTAGCGCAACTATATACAACGAGCGCAGACAGTCTGTTCACAACGCTTAGTAGATTAGACTGATAATTCGATCGGCTACAATTGCCGACTTTCTTACTGGTCAGTGACCGTCTTGTGCACAGACGCTGTGTGAGATCGAACTACTGAAACGTCAAGACAGACTATCTCTATCTCTCTTCAAATTTGGAGGACAGATCCTGTAGATGCTTTACGCAGTTTGCTGGTAAAACTGGATACGGGAAATTGTTGCAGCCGATTGGAGCTGCTCCGCTAAAGCGGTAGTGTACTTTGGAACCTCACAGTCGGAATGCGGCACTCAGATGAAACCGTCTGTTCTCTGCCGCCCCCGTGACTGCTGGCTGCCGCTGATTCTCTTCCCAGACCGATTGGCGCTCGTAAAAGCCAAGTTCACAATGATCAACCCAGGTTCTGACGGATTCTGGTCTGTATCGTAGCTCATATCTGGTGAGAGCACCGCGTGAGCAATAAGCGTGTTCGGCATCGCATATTTGGTGCAGGAAGAGCTAGTGGATCGTTCAGCACCATTATATCACGCATCAGGCACCGATGGCTGGGCCACGTGTTGCGCATGTCACCACACCAACTCGCACGCCGTGCTTTGTTTGCGCGCCGGGCTTGAGGTTGGAAGAGGAGGAGGGGAGCCCAGGCATTGACTTGGTCGAGAGGAATGAAAACCCTCACTTCGAAGTTGGAGTCGGTTGGTGCATCCCGACTGCCTGGCTGGGGCCCTAAGGACGATGAACACGTTTGGTTGGACATACGTGCTGATATGGCGAAGTGCCGGCCCCAATGGCTTCTGTGTTCTGAGTTACTTTGTCCATCCCCCTCCCTTTAAGTTCCGTCTCCAATACCGATCTCATGCAATACGCATAATGTAATATTTAACATCATATTTTTGTAGTGTAATTTTATATTCTCTTATCTTTTTGTATTGCGGCACATTATCGGAGGCGTGTTTTTCGCCCTCAACTAGCGTGTATTGCTGATGGTTGTAGACTGTATTGACCTTTTCTTCATTCTACATCAGTCGTTGAAGCAGTGCCATTTGTGTTGGCTACTCATTCTAGTCGCTTTCCTCGACATCAAAAGTACCTTCGATTCAGTGCATCAACCTTCACTTTGGAACTGTCTAGTTTGGTAATGTGCACTTAACCATGGTGACATACAACTACTCACGAGCGTAGACCAAATCGCCAATTAACATGAGATGTGTACCGGTGTTGGTAACGATTTTTCTGACTGGAGTATTGCATCAAAAATGGTACATGATTTTCTTTCCCTCAAGGAATTCGGCAGGGTAAGATCCATTTGGTGTTGCCGAGTTTGATGTCTTACTACAAAGCATGAAGAAATTTTGGATATTCTCATCCTTAATTCTCTTTCTCCTCACATTTTTAAGAGCCCGTTTGATCGTGTCCACAAACTGTTCTCCCTGACCATTTGAGGATGATACGGCGTGGTGCGAACGTGGTTACGAATACTCCGACGGGGATGTAAACTACGTTCCGCTATATGAAATCATGGTATCTGGAAACCTGTGCTGACTGAAAATCCTGCGCAGAGCTGACATTGTGAACGACTTCGTCGTCTGTGGCGTGACTGTTGCGTCAATTACGATTAAGCACATAGTGCCGTTGTATAGGCCAGCGAAGTCGACATGTAGGTGCGACCACTGTGTATCAAGTTGAGTACACATTTGGCCACCTGTTGGCAACGGGAACACTGTCTTACCAACCTCTCTAGTTGCTTGTCGGTACCCGGACAATAGACGTAGTTCCGTCTTGCAGCAGGATGACCTGTGTGAAATCGACGCAAGTCGATCGATGGAAACGAAGAAGGGATGGTAATGCAATCGGCAAATATTAGACAGAAATTGATCATGGACAAGCCGTCTCGACGAAGGTGAAGCTGCTGCAGGTCTCCAGTAAGTGCTGTCATGGATCTTTGGTTACTGATGCATTTGGTTGCTTTTTGGAGGACAGGATCGGTGTTCGTTACACTTTTGATGTCGTGGAGAGTGACCGGAACTGCACTAACAGCCGCAACCAGGTACACACAAATGTCGGATTCTCGGGAGACTGCTGCGATGATCGTGTTTTCCTGCTCCTGTCGATTTGCGTTGAGTGACCGGGAGAGGGCATTTACTTGCGCGAAATCTTGCTTTCGCGGGTAACAGATTTCAAAGTCTTAGTTTAATGGAATGATTTCCCAAAACTGCAGTACTTCACCATCAGTCACTTCAGCGCCCGATGCTGGGCACTCATCGGTTGGATGTAATATGTCATTTTCTTTACAGATGCAATAAAATATGAACATAAAATTAGATGGCGGGAAACGTGGCCACAAAAGGAGATAGAACGGTTTAAAACGCAATTGCGCAGCCAGATTCTGCTTTGTATATTGCTGTCGCTACGCATCGTGTATCGCCAAATGTGTGGAATTGCATTAATGGGTAGTCACTGGTATTTGGAGGGGAGTGAATACGGCTAAGTTTTCCTTATAAAGGGCGAAATCTGAGCTTACGAATGGGTGCTCAAATTTTTCGGCGTGCGTCCGATAAGTGACAATTTCTTGCCACTCGGGCGCCCGTCAGACACTCACTGTGCGCTCCTTGGACACTTGTGTCAACAGACGTCTACTGGCAAAATACGTCGGAATGCCCTTTTTAGAGCCTAAAATAGTAAGGGACGTTTTGTGGTCGGCTAGCAAGCTGAACTAGACCATTTTGTGAAACTTCCCCACGGCGAATACTAGTGCCAAAGCTTCCTTTTTGAGTTGAGCATACTTCTCGACTAGTATAAGTTTATGAGCAGCATGCATGATTACTTTTTCCGAGCTGTCTGGGAACATGTAAGAGATGACGGCACCGACGCCTTGGCTGGATGTGCCTGCAGCGACTATGATCGATAGCTTGGGATCAAAATGTATCAGGAAGAGGTCGAAACTAAGCATTTTTCCTGTGATTAAATGTGAGCCCATATTCTTATGACTTGACATCCTCGGTTGCATGTAGGTGTCTGCTCTACAACTGAAGGTTAGTAAATATGCTCGATGCAGCTACGATTAGTGCTGCGTTGAACGAAGATAGGACAACAGATGGAAGGATGGAATTGGAAGCATACGCCTTACTGGTCCGATAAATGAATTACATCAGCTGAAAGACAAGAGTTAAATATGATGTAATAAACAAATGTATGGCAGTAATGTATTCTGGATCAGTATGATGACCACTGTTGGAGAAAATTTATCTTAGATCCTCCTTAGCGTTTCGCAAGAAAGCACATTGTTCTGCGCGAAGACAGAAACGTTACGGTTGCATTTGGGCGAGTGCGCAGTATAGACAATGTAAAAGTTGTTTCTGATTGCAGCTAATATGACAATCGGGTTAACATGGAATCCATTGTTTGGATATGGCTGGTACCAATTTCACATGGAACCGTAAACGGTTAAATCGGATAATCCGAGGTGTGTATTAATCGTCGAGAATTTTTACGAAACGGGTGCCACCACTGAGTTCGTTGAAAAAATCCTGTGGAAGCTAGGGGGACTGAAGCAGAGAGTTAGAGCCAGTCATCTACTTTCAACGACAACAATAGAGACTGTTCACGATGAGCAATGGGCTGAATAACTGAGGGTTGTTGTAGGCTATCTTGCTCTTTATCTACGGTTGCTATTACGGTGTGTAGTACTGGATGTTTTGCTCTGAAAACCGACGTAGCATCTGTTTTAAATGAAACCTGGTTATAAACTTGGTGCAGTAACTGAGGCCGACCTGAAAAACTGCAAATTTTCCTCGAGCTTATTATTTGTTATGCGACCTATGAATTTGTGGCCAACTGCATGCTCATGAATAGAGGTGAAAGTGGGACATTCAAGCATCAAAGCCTTCCAGTCCAAGCAAGTTCATATTAGAACAGCCGGTAATATAGGATGTTCCTGAAAACTGCACATTGTTGAAAATCACATCACAGATCAATACTCTGGTCAATTGTAAAGCAATAGCTGATTCATTCCGTGCATGTTGCTCAGTGCTTGACAATCCATGTTTCTCGATTAAGGTAAGGTGGAATCTAAGATTGTTGTTTTGTCCGAAATTGTGTCAAGCTGAAGGCGGACTCGGGTATTATTAATGAAAACTGATAATTACGCTAATTTGAATACAAAATCGACTATGAATGTTTCAAACACAGGATTGGACCGAAGTCGCTCTTTATGTAGCCGCTTTTTGGATCTATCTGACTGAACTATAGGCGCTTTTTGGTTGTTTGTTTTCTTCACCTTTATGAGGCGACAGAAGACTTCTTTGAGTCCTATCGTTGTTGCTACAAACACTGATGTTTCTCCTAGGCGCAAAACGAGTGTAGTGCCTTTCGCCACATGACCAACAAAGAGCTTGAGGCTTTTTGTTGGGCTAGACTTGTTCGTGTCAATATGCAAACGACGCTTGAAGCTGGTAATCGCTATTCTTGTCACATGGCATTATCGTGTATAAGACAGCTGGTCTGGCATTCTGTGGTGAGATATAGCAGTGATATCTGGTTGGTGTCTAAGTTTTGAAAGCAGTTTAATGTAGACGTCCGGTTTACTTTGAGAATTAAGACCGGAAACGATATGTCAGTGTTAGTAATTGAAGTTTCTTGTACTTACAGTTTACGACGTTTTCATGATTGTCGTAATCATCTGCATCACGCTTTGCCAATGTGAGACATTTGTATCATAGGACGCTTAGGAATGATAGATGATCACCTTAAAATCTCACGCAGTTGTTCCACTGTATGTTTAACGTTTTACAGGAGAACGAAGTTACTATAATGATCAGGTTCAGTGGTTTCCAGTTTCCAGATTAAAAGTCGGGATTTCCACGCGTCTTCTTTGCCCGTAAACCTGTTCTCTAATATATCCTTTGAAGGCTTTTACCATAAATCAAAAGCGAGACCGGTTGTAGATTTGTTGTGAGACTCCGAACTAACAGCTAAAATGGTTGTTGAGAATACGAAGCTGGTCCTTATCTTATGGAACTGATAGTAAGGAAAGAGTGACTGAACTGAAGTTGAATAAAGCACTTATCGCCATACATTTTTGCAAAGAGGTATTCCAGTGTCCGTAATGGATGCTGGTGCCTGTCATGCACAGCTTTAGGACTGTTAATAGGATATCTAACGAATTCATCGGAGCACATTTTGTCATTCGAAGTCCTGCCGCTTCTTCAGAGCTTCGCCGAATATTTTCCTTGGTTGATCGAAAGTATGCTTGTGAGCCATATGCTTCTATTTTTGTTAATTTGCGAAGAAAGTCAATGTAATCTTATAAATGACGCAAGTCTTTGCTGCTTTTGCCCTGCTTTTTCGGTTATTTAACTCATTTCAGAAGTTTTCGTTTTCCTGGCCCGCTAATCTAAGTAACTCGGGAACTTCACAGTTAATCAGGGTGAGTGCAATCGGAGCGCCTCTGGGAACCATTACGCAGACTTGATATGGTGCCCATAGTTTAGCTTTGAGGACTGGTTTGGCTCCCAGTTGCAGGTACGACATTGTCTGGACGGTTACCATATCATGTCTTCAACTAGCTTCGATGAAGTGTTCGGATTTTTCCGAACTTGATCACACATGATTCAGTGCTCGATCTTTCTGGTGTCTTATTACAGTGCGCGTGAAATTTGACTCGCTTTCGATAGCTTGGTCATTTGCCCCGCATTCTTGAGACTGGTTAATTTGGCATGTATCGTTTGTCATGAATTTTGGTAAAACTCTGGAATGGCCAGTCTATAGTCTATCATTTGAGCGTCAAGCAATTCACAGAAGCCTGAGTCTTATTGGCGTTTGTCTTTGTCTGTGATGCGGTCCTCGTGAACGTTCCGGTCACTGGCTAGCTACATCGAATGTCCCACGGTCTCGGAATCGATGATAATCTCTGACCCGGCCCTTTAACTATTCCATTCGACTGTTTCGGTTCTCCTTTGATTATTATCATTACTCTTATTATGGCTTCTTGTGTCATAGTGATTGGATCCAGCGCACCTCTGTGCGCAGTCCAAATTTAGCAAACTGCATTGAGCTGAACTGTTTCAGCACTATAATGGTGTGCTTGAATTGTGACTCACCATCTCTATTTTGACCACATTTCATGTTGAGGCAAATCGCAATCACTGCGATCACAGGGACTATTTGCGGAGTTGACATTTTGGACACCTGCTCCCACGGACACACTACAGTTTTGGCGTTTATTGGTCAGTATGGTCCATTTGATCACTTTTATGATTAGGTTTATCATCCACGTTGATGGAACGGTTAAATAAGTTACATTATTGATGCGGAAAAGCTTCACTGGAACGATCGATTCGTGCGAGCCTTCGGAACACTTGACCGTTCGACTGATGCTTCGTGCTAACCGATGAGATGGCTAGCAGTTAAACGATAACGAATACTGGTGAATGCTGTTCACCGCTCTTTCGAGTAGGGCTACTTGGATGAGGCACTTCATTTTTTCAAGTCGCCGTCTGTCTTTGTAAATTCGCAGGTCAGTGATTCATTTGGGCCGCATGATTTACTTTTATCTGCTACTCTATAATAGTCACTAACGTTTCCTTAATCTTTCTTCATCATCTCTGTTTGGCTTTCCACTTTCCCATCCTTGTCAACTTGTTCATCAAAATGGCGAAGCCTTTCACATGACAGTTTAATCCATTGCACCTCAGTTTTCGGATCGCAGTTACGTGTTTGAACTGAATTATGGCACCACCGTGCTTCTAAACACTAACAGTGCTGCCCACAATCTCTTTCAGCACTTTTCCAAAATACGTGTGGTGGCGCTTGTGACCTTGTTTGTTCCCACGTGTATAAACGCACCGTGTACGCTGGAACACGAACTACGCTCCACCACCAAGTGCGATCCTTTGTCTTTTAGACCTAAAGGTATCTTCGTTATGTGACATTGCGGAGCAATCCTTAACCGTCGGGTTTACCTTCACTTCAATCTTCACCATGGAGGTAGACGCTTTAGAGCTTGCAAATTTCAGGAGAGTGAAGAATACTTACAAGCTGTTCTGTGTTGGGTGCGTTATATTCACAGTCGGATTTCTGTTTATCTTCTTTGGGAGGCCATATACTTTTGATCGAACAAACAAGGATCTTTTCCTGCCATTTGGATTGCTATTTCTCATCCCGGGCTGCGGTGTCATCTTTGGTGCGTCTTACCTGCTCATAAGACAGTGGAGGGAATCCAATGATTTTGCGCGATTAAATCGTTTACTTGCTTATCAAAAGGATGACGCAGCGGAAGATCTGAAGAGCCACTCCGAATTACTTTCCAATCAAGAGGCACTGCCTGCGTACTCTCAGCTTGGAATCAATTTGAATGAACCAATCTAGTTGCGGAAATATACATCTCTTTACGCTTTGTGTGACTATTTGTTATGTTCAAGCAATTTGAAACGCGTGAGACTTCATTCTACAATGTAACCGGTCAATTCCTTTTTGGGATCAGACCTCTCTGTTTTTATACTTTTTATAATGTTTTTAATTGCAATTTCTGCGTTTTATAAACTCACTGACATGTTCTATTGGCCTATGCTCTTCGGAAACGATGTAACAACTTATTGATTGCTTTCGCTGGAATCACCTCAACCTCCGTTTATTTTTTTTATTTTTTGTGACCATTTTGGTATCTTCCTTTTGTTGGGCATTCCCTTTTCATTGAACTACATATCAAGTATGAGCCAGCTTCTCTTTCATCATCGAAAGTTTCCACATTTCGATTAATAATTATGTTTTTCATGCAATCTGGTGAACTACAGATACCGTCGCAAGCGCTTGTATAAATACACCATTTGAGTTCGCTGTTTGTTTGTATTACTTAAGAGTATCACGCTGACAAACTAAAATGGTCTACTGTAGAGCGGAACTCAAGTACTAGTTGCTACGAGAACCAGTACGAACTAATACGGATACCAATTATTCAGAATTGAGTACGTAGCCGGCCCCAACATGTTTTCTAATGAGCTGCAATGAACTAGAAGCAAATTAGCAAGAGCACAAAGCAAGGTAGCTTGCGGATCACAGAGAATTCGAAAGTGAATCGGGTGTGCCGTCAGTAAAACAACTAGATGATCG